GATCCCACGAGGCTGTTGACGGCGATGGGTTCCTTCTCTCATTTTGCGTTGGTCTCGGCGGGGAGAGCAAGGCCGACAGCAGGATCCCCCCAGGGCTCTTCCCCACCCGGCATTTGTAGACTTCTCTGTACCCCGACCCTTCCCAAGTAATCGCCTTCATTTCTGGTCAGCAGAACCGGCGAAGGATCCAGTCCCCATAACACCGCCTTTGGGGCATGCAAAGAGGTGCACACGGCAGAGCTCTCCTCCTCTGAGACTGAGTGATTCCAAGACCGTGGACTTCCTTCTTTCTCCCTTGAGTTTCTACTTAGCCGCCGGCTCCACTCGACCCCTCTTTTTAACAGGAACTGTAAACCCAACCGGCCCCCGAGTTCAGCCCAAACGAGCCCCATTCGTCGGCCCAAGTGGAGTTATTAAAGAAGTCATCCGGACAATTCAGGCAAACACCCTTTGGAATGGGTTTTGGCCTGAAACACACAAAATTCCCTTCGTCCTCCCCCCCCCCCCCCCGAATTTAGAATTGGCTTCCTGTGGCTACACTTGAGTATCCCGACCTTTGTTTGACGTTAATATATTTGGGGAAGAATAGTTATCATTCATCCTCGACAGACTGCTGAATTTAAGTACACTTAGCTGAGATTTCATTTGCATTCCTCTGTGAATTACTCTGAATTTAGGTGCTGCTCCTTCCATTTAAAACAGAAGTAGCACAACTGGCTAGGCGTCCGAGTCCAGGGTTAAGACTGAGGGTGGGATGGTTAAGTGCGTGGTGCAGGCTGCCTAATAGTAGGAACCGACTGGGAGCAGTAACTCGAAAACGGAGGCCCTGGTCAGCAGGCTTAAAGGAAGTCCAGGGGCTGGAGACGGGGGCGTCGCCTTCTTCACCCCTACCCTTGTAGCTCTTTTGTCAACTTCCGAATTTGCCAAACCGCTTTCATTTATTTTTCAATTAAAATGCAAATCAATCGCTTCCCAACACAGATTCCCCCCCCCCCCAGATATATATATATAGTGCAGAGACGCGGAGGGTAGAGGGGGTCGTGAGCACGTGTGACACGTTCCATTCCCAAGGGTTCCTTAGAAATGCCGGGCTCTTTTAGGTCGTGGGCAGCACCGCGCGCGGGTGTTGCGGGGGCGGTGGGGGGGGTCCCCGAGCGAGAGAAGTCCTGATTCTTTAGGGCGTGTGTATGCGGCGTGCAAGATGGCCCTGACCAAAAACCCGCCTCCCACATCCGCGTGGGGATCTGCTCCTCCAGGACGCCGTCCGGAAGGTGGTTTTAGCTCTGCAGGGTCATCTCTCCCACCAGCCCACCCTCTTCGAGGACGCCCCTCGCTCTCCCGGCTCCCAGCTGGAGACAGACGGAGCAGATCGATCATGATAACAGCACCAGGCAGGAGGCACCGACCGGCCTTCCTTCAGCCGCGCCTCGCCGTGAGCGTCTGAATTTCATTGCCCCACGCGGGATTCGGGCACCCAGGGCTCAGCCCCCGGGGATCTAGGTACATAGACCCCAGATGTTTTTATCGTCACAATTAAGAACGACACTGCTGTTTTAATTCCTCAATGTGAATGATAAATAAAAGCAAATGATTGAGACTTCCAATCGGCACCCAAGCTTTGCAATTATTTACCGATGACAATTAACCCAGACTTGGGTGGAGTTGAATCAATGGTCCGCAGGGTTGGTCAGTCTTTCTGATTTTGCTCTATTTCTACCTCACCCACCCCAAATTAGATACTAGATTTACAATAGGAAAATGTTCAATGCTTTCCCAGGTCAGGCTATTTACATGAAATAAAGCGAAGTCGCTTTTAGAAATTGGAGTATTTGGGGATCACTGGATTCCTTCCTTCTCCATTCCTACCTAGTCCTGAGAATGTGGTGTGAGGCGTGTGGGCCAGGTGAGAAGGTCGCTCGGGGCCCAGGCGTGGGGTCCAGGCGAGGGGTTGTGTGTCACCGCTGTCCTGGAGACTCCCGAGGTGAGATAAAGTTTCGTTTTTAACGAATCGAGAAGCAGAGGACCCCAACTCTCGGGCCAGGGTTGGGCTACACACACCTCCCTCCTGCTGGAGTTCCCCTAGCAGCCCAAGGACAGGGCGCTGGGGTTTATACCCACAACCCAGCAAACATCCTGATGGGGAAATACACACGGCCCCCTCATCATCTCTCTTCTTGCCCTACTCAGCATAATTCACACTGAAGAAGGACCTCACCCTCCCCTTAGTCAGATTCTATGGTCTGTGTAGTGATGGGTTTAGCCCAGTCTTGAAATTAATGAAAAATAATGGAGAGGGAACATTATTTTTATATCAGAAGTGAATAATAAAAGTGGCAAAAGATAAACAAAAACCTCTCAAACTCAAGCTCAAGTTGCTACCTTTGAAAGATCAGCGCAGCGGAAATGTAGGTTATCTAAGTGGAATAAGCCCTCTGGCTTTCTGTGCTGGGATGCAAATAAGGGCTTTTGGCTCTCACCACCAAACTCGGTCCATGGGTGGTGCCGCTAGAATTGTATTCCTTATTTTCTTCAATTTTCTGCTGATTAAGTTTGGACTTAATGATCTCGTCCAAACTACTGTAGTGACTATCCCTTGATGGTGTGCTACTTTAATACCCTGAAATCTCAAAATTGTGCAAGGGTCTTCCTTCCCCGTGTACACAGCTCAACGGCTCCTGGAAATTTAAAGATCTCCAGCGATGGAAGAAATTGAGAGGCTATAAGGGAAACCGCCGTCCAACACCTAAACCCTAAGACATCCCATCATCACAGCGCAGAAGCCAGGAAGTTTCCATCTCCCAAAACATTCTGGAGTTGAGAGAGGGGTAAGAGTTCTCGAGATGGTTGTGGAGGGGTGTGTGTATGTGTACCAGACTCCACCTCAATTTTGATGATTCTGACCCCGTAAAACTCAAAACAAATAATGATCACAGGGGAGAAAAGTTTAAAAAGTTCACTGCTTTCAGGTTGAAACATCACATAAGAAACAAATGCTCCCAATAAGCTGATTTCGTTCCCTGAGAATGGAGTAAACCTATAAATGATAACATCTTGTGTGTGTGGAGGTGGGGGGAGACCCGGGAATAAAGAGAAAAGTGAAAGAGAAGAAAGAGAGAAGGAAAGCGGGGAGGTGGCAAAGATGGAATAGGGCGATCCTTCGGCCTACGAGGGGATTAAGGACATCTCTAAGGCTTAAGGAGCAACAAATTAATTTACACAATCCTGGGAGAGCCCAGATGGCCTTTAATTAATCCCTTCAAAAGAAGGAGCTAGGCCAGGGCTGCGCAGGCTGCCTGCTCCATTAGCTCCATTTTACAAGAGACCAGACTCTGTTCGAGGTGAGGCGTCGAGAGCTCGTGGGGGAAGGGGGGGGCTAGGGTGACGAGAGCAGGCGAGGGGGAGGCGAGGGAAGAATATGAACTGCTCTTCCATAAAAGGGCTGGGTTTTCATTATTCTTCTCTTTAAAAAGTAATACCCTCTTCGTCTCTGCTCCCCCCCCCCTTTTCCCATTTTATTTAACACAATTAATTGAGGCGTCCACTGGCCCAGCGGCCGAACCGCACCACTCGCCAGGCCCCGCCCCTGGCCCCGCCCCCCGGCGGGATAGAAGCGGGAGGGGGCGGGAACCAGGCGGGCGCGGTCCTACGGCTCGCCCCCATCAGCCAATCGGAGGGCGCGGCGCTCCCGAGTGGGCGTGACCCGGAGGCGACGCGAGGCCCCAGGCAGAGCGCTATTGGAGACGGTGGTTACGCCCCCGGCCTGCACCCCGCCCTCCCCCGCTCCTCGGGCCCGCCCTTCCCGGCTGCCTCGGAGTGACGTCCTTCAAAGTTCTCATTTTGGACCCCCCATGTCCCCCTCCCTCTCGTCCCCCAGCTAAAGAGGGGTAGGGAGTGATGCAAATGTTTTATTACCTTTGAGAGCTTCATCTGAACTGTCAGGCCCGGAGGGAGCAAGGAGAGGAGAGAGAGAGGTAGTGGAACAGCCTCGGAGAGGGGGTCAGCTTGGCCGGAGGACAGGACTTAGAAGAGCGAAGCCTGTAGAGCCGCGAAGAAAATGCGAGACAGAAGAGGCAAAGGCGGAGAGTGAGAGGGCGCTGGGGGCGGGGTGGGGCCGGGGTCGCCAGGCCCTTTTGCAGAAGTGGACAGACGCCTGGAGCCGTAACTGAAGGCGTCAGACTTTTCACTTAGTCTTTGCTTCTCCGTGTTTTTCCTGCCCACTTTTTTTCTTCTTTTTCTTTTCAATATTGCAACTCTGCAACCCCGTGGCGCAGAGGGGAAGACGGGTCGGCGCGCCGAGTCTGGGAGCCGCGGGGATCGGTGGCACTGCCCTTTCTGGCGCCGAAGCCTTGGGCAGAGCAGGCGGAGGAAGCCCGCCCAGAGGCCAACCCTCCCGCGGGTTGGATGCGCTCTCTCCCTGCGCGCTCCGCGCGCCGAGTGCGAATCAACCTCGTGGCCGAAAGAGCAGGGCATCCAAGTAAGACTGGAGCTCGTCGAGCGGAACCCGGCGTCCTTTGAACCTCCCCGAAGAAAGCGAGCCGGCCCCTCACCCCCAACTGTCCCCACATCAAAGATTCGGTGATTCTTAACTTTGTTACGAGCTTTCTGGGGCCGGGCGGGGTTTGGTTTTGCTTATTTCCAAGAGAAAGAAGATGAGAAGTTGCGCGCTTTGAGCGACGAGGAAAAAGTGAGGAAGAAGCAAGGAGCCCGAGATTGAATCCAGGACTCTATCAGGGAAAGGACAGCCCAAACCACCCGGACGCTGCTCGCTGGTCTCGGCCAGCCACCGCCTCTCCATTGGTGTGTTTGGACATTTCTGCTGCGCAGTTCCGAGAGCAACTCTCGGCGGCGGCATTCCCGGCCCAGTTGGCAGGTCGCCCCCGGGTGCGCCGCCGAGCGCCTCCTTGCTCGCGCCCGCAGCGCTTCTCGCTCTCCGGAGCCCCGCCGGGGGGCAGGGGCCGGCGCCCTCGCTGCGTGGCCGCGGGCTCCGGCCTGGTCGTGGGATGTTAGCGGTGGGGGCGATGGAGGGCCCCCGGCAGAGCGCGTTCCTGCTCAGCAGCCCGCCCCTGGCCGCCCTGCACAGCATGGCAGAAATGAAGACCCCGCTGTACCCCGCCGCCTACCCCCCGCTGCCCGCCGGCCCCCCCTCCTCCTCGTCCTCCTCGTCCTCCTCGTCGTCTCCCTCCCCGCCTTTGGGCGCCCACAACCCGGGCAGCCTGAAGCCCCCGGCCGCGGGGGGGCTCTCGGCCCTGGGCAGCCCCCCGCAGCAGCTCTCGGCCGCCACCCCGCACGGCATCAACGACATCCTGAGCCGGCCCTCCATGCCCGTGGCCTCAGGGGCCGCCCTGCCCTCCGCCTCGCCCTCCGGGTCCTCCTCCTCCTCCTCTTCCTCGTCCACCTCCGCTTCGGCCGCCGCGGCCGCAGCCGCAGCGGCCGCCGCCGCCGCCTCGTCGCCAGCGGGGCTCCTGGCCGGCCTGCCCCGTTTCAGCAGCCTGAGCCCGCCGCCGCCGCCGCCCGGGCTCTACTTCAGCCCCAGTGCCGCGGCCGTGGCCGCCGTGGGTCGGTACCCGAAGCCGCTCGCCGAGCTGCCCGGCCGGACGCCTATCTTCTGGCCGGGAGTGATGCAGAGCCCGCCCTGGAGGGACGCCCGCCTGGCCTGCACCCCTCGTGAGTACAGTCGCCTGCTGCGCCCACTTGTGCTGGTTCTGCCTGCTCTCAGGTCACGGCCTCTGGTGTGCAAGCGGCCGGGTCCACCCTCTTGCCGGCCGAGCAGTTTGGCAGCGCCAGAATCACACGATTTAGGATGGGCCAGGGCGTTCGGGGAGGGATTCTTGCTTTCCTGAGCTCCATGGTGTGTCCAAGCGGCCTCCCTTCCTAAGTCCCGGGCACGCGGAGCACAGCGCGTGTGCATGCGTCTCGGTGAAACACACCGCGGCGTGCGGGACTTGTGTCTCATCCGAGGTCCCGGCTGCTCCAGGAACAGCCCGGCCCGGAACCGTAGGCCCCTCCTGGGTTAAAGAGGTGCGGAGGGCAAGAGGGGCTACTGAGTCCCCGCCCGCATTCCAGCTTTCCGGTGTCCCAGGCCAAAGTCCCATTCGATCTTCGCAGCCTCACTGGCCTCCTGGTAGGGGAACGGCATCGACGAACCCTTCACAGCCCTGAGCCGAACGCATGTGTTTGCATGTGCGACTTGGTCCAGGGTGTCCTCACCTCACCTGATCGCCTTCCCCGCCCCATCCTGCGTCCTGCGAGTACCCGCAGCCCAGGGCAGCCCACTGAAGACAGGTCCGCGGTGGGTGCACGAGGGCCGGCGCCACTTCGGGCCGCTCCCCACCGCTGGGCCCTGGTTTTTCCACCTGTCTCGGCCCCAAGGGCCGGGACGCCTTGGACCTGGACATATTGAGGGGCGTCGTGGCTCTCAACATCCTAATAGGAGAAAGAACCGGAGGATGAACCAGGCGGCGGGACAAGGATGGGGGAGGGGGGTAGGGGAAGACAACATCTCGCAAAGATCTTGCTGGAAACCAACTGAGTTAGCCCAGGATCACTCTAATCTTCTAGGTAGTTTGCCAGCTCACCGACGTAGCTCGCATCCTCCCGGGTGGCATTGAGGGCCCAGTGCCCGGTCCTTGTCTCGCTCAGTTCTTCGCTTTTGACCGAGTCCCCCCGAAGTTTCCCAAGTCTCAGCTCTGTGGCTGAGCGGCAGTAACTGAGGGAAGTTGGGGGAGCCAAGTGGAGGTTTCCTTGGGGAGTCTCGGGACTGGGGCGACCTGGGGCGGGGGGGGGGCGAGTGAGGGCGTCGGGGAGACGCTTTTGTTTGTGTTCGGACGGCCACGTAGGGACCTCTAACAAAGGCGATGCCCCCTCCCCCTCGGCGGCGTTAGGGTTGGGGGGCGACTTAGCTCGCTTGTGTTTCTAAAACAAGGCGCCCTTTGTGGCGCGGGCACAGGTTAGGAAAGCGTTCAAGGAACAAAATTAGTTGTCCCCACGCAAAGGCCCCGAAACCGAGCGCCGCCAACTAGACAAGGCGGGCGAGGAAGGGGACTTGCTCACCAGCCCTCCGCCCCGCACTCCGTTTCCAGGGCCCTAGCCATTCTGCCTCGGCAAACTTGAGCGATGCGCTCTCAGTCGGACGTCGTTGTTGGGCCAAAGGTTATTTACTGCAGTTTCAAACACTCCCGCTTAAAAGACCAAAAAAAAAAAAAAAAAAAAGAAAGAAAGAAAGAAAAGAAAAAAACAGGTGGGTGTAAAAAAAGCGAAGAGGGGAAGAGCCGTGGGGCCCTAAGCGCCCCCAGCGTTTCTCAATGCTGCCGAGGAACAGGCTCTCGGTTCCCACCGCAACGTCGTTTCTGGATTTCGTTTCTTCTCAGTGGAGCAGCTCATAACTGACTGCTTCTCCCTTTCCTTTTTAAAAATCCGTTCTCCTAGATCAAGGATCCATCTTGTTGGACAAAGACGGGAAGAGGAAACACACGAGACCCACGTTCTCGGGCCAGCAGATCTTTGCCCTGGAGAAGACTTTCGAACAAACGAAATACTTGGCGGGGCCCGAGAGGGCTCGTTTGGCCTATTCATTGGGAATGACGGAGAGTCAGGTCAAGGTGAGTGGACCTTGCAAACCTCGAGGAATAGAGCCCTTGTGTACACCGCGCGCCTGTGCCTACACACACACACACACACACACACACACACACACACACACACACACCAAACTAACAAATAGTCGCCCGCCCAGGGGTGCGGGTTTGCGGAGCCTGGGGAGAGCTGAGATCAGCGAAGGAGGTTGGGGCGGGGGGTGGGGGGGGGAGTAAGTTACAAAGGATCTGGATCTCACAGGCCGGCAAACTGTTGATGAACAAAAGGAATCAAGCCCCCTGCCTTTGAAATTAGGTTAATCTAGATAGCAGCATGTGCTGGGGGAACTCGCCATTATTAAAGAATAAAAGCATTACCGAAATATCAGCCCTGAGAATAGATGAGGCCAGTTAGATAGCTTCTATTTGTTCTATTTGTAAGGATATTCAAGCTTTTGCTTGTCAATTCAGGCTCCACTAGTTACAGAATTTCCTAATGTAGATTGGCATTATAGTGCTACTGTATTAACTTACAGGTTAAAAAAAAAAACACAATAAATCCACAAGATTTGCCCCCTTAACATGGATGCACCTGCTTTTAACTGAGCCTGAAGGCAGTCACTTTGGAGTAGTAATTTTCCAAGTGAATTAACAAGATTATGATTGTATTATGAAACAGAAGTTTATCAATAGATGTAAGGTTTTACTGTTTATGACAATTTATAATTAAAATGTCACTTAACTTATAATTGAGTTGTACAGTATATTTCCAGGGAATCAAATTGGAGAACTCTTTGCCTGAAAAATAAAGGGATGGAAACAGCTGTGTACCGTAAATCTAGTGGTTTCCTGTATTTCCAGTATTCCCTTTTGTTCTTCAGTTTGCTATATCTCGCTATGTGTGTGTGTGTGTATATATATATATATATATATATACACACACATATATATATTGATATCTATATCTATATCTATATACACACACATATATATATATTGATATCTATACATATATATAGGTTTTCGTGTGTGTGTGTGTGTTTAAATCTGTTTCTATTAGTTATGTTGTTGCTTTGAAAAGTAAGTAGAGATAATGTTAGCCAAGTCTGCTGGTTAGAGACTATTTCTCCCTGGACAAGCATCATAAAATGCATTTTGGGAGTGATTTTGTATGTGACCATTAGAGTACCATCACTGTTAAGATTACTTTTTGCAGTGGTTGGTACAAAGTTTACCACAGTAGTCTGGAGGTCTTCATTTGTCACCATAAATAAGTCTGTGTGGCTAGAAGTGAATTATTATAGCTGCATAAAGAAACTAAAAATCTCTTTCTTAACAACTCTGATTCTCTAGATAAATACAAAAAAGATGAGAAAATGGATGAGAAGTATAAAGAGAGGATGCTTCAATATATTTGGGAAATTGGTTACTTATGGCTGGTGCTTTCGGTTTAAAATATGTGTATCAAATACGATGTCAAAAATCATGAATAGGCTTAAAATAGTTGTATAAAAATGAATGTCTTAGGAAGGATCAATATTAAAATAACATTTGAAAGACCAGGCATGCTAATAGTGGGAAATAATGTAATTGGCAAAATTTCACTTTTAAAAAATAACTCATGAAGATTCTTGCCTTGGTCTTTGGTTTTATGAAAAACATTAAACCAGAGAGACAGAGACACACAAACTACTATGATGATTTCAACTAAGCGGTTAAATATTTTCATGCATTTATGTTGGTTATTATCACTGACTTGAAGTTTGTGTTTTATCAGTTTTTTTATTTGACATTACATCATACAAGTATACATGGATAGGGGAGTGTTTACCCACCATTTTTGTGTGTCTTCAAATCTGAAATAAGTGAAACAGACAAATATCCAAAAGTGAAAAAAACAGAGGTTATTAGTGTAAATGCTGTGTCTTTCCCCACAAATCTCACTAAAAAGCAAGTACGCTTCAGATTGTTTGAAATACCTGAATCTGAGAAAGTTAAAGAACGAATAGAATTGCAATCAGTAGGAGGCAGTTTTACGGAGGGGAAAAGTTTTCTACTTCCAACTAGAAAGTAGGCAAGCGAAGTCTTTTAGGGAAACTCAGTTTAAGTTTCCAAGTTTTTTTTTTTTCCTCTTCTGAGAAATCGCTCAGTGACAACCTCAATACTCTTGTGTTGCTATCACTATGGCAACGGCAGGCAGTTTGTTGGTGCCCTATCCGAGGACCGATGGAGACCGACTTTGACGGCCTGGGATGCGGGAGGGCCGCTGGGGAGCGCGTCTCGCCGTCGGGGGAGGGGTGGGGGGCGGCCCGCAGGAGCGGGGGGCCCACGGCCTGGCTCCTCTGCTCCGCGGAAGTTCCTTCCATCACCCCGCCTCCCCCCGAATCTCCCCTCTTCTCCGCTTTCTCGGTCTCCCAGGTCTGGTTCCAGAACCGCCGGACCAAGTGGAGGAAGAAGCACGCAGCCGAGATGGCCACGGCCAAGAAGAAGCAGGACTCGGAGACCGAGCGGCTGAAAGGGGCCTCGGAGAACGAGGAGGAGGACGACGACTACAACAAGCCCCTGGACCCCAACTCGGACGACGAGAAAATCACGCAGCTGCTGAAGAAGCACAAGTCAGGCGGCGGCGGCGGCGGCGGCGGCGGCGGGCTCCTGTTGCACGCGTCCGAAACCGAGGGCTCGTCCTGAGCGCCCGCCGCCCGCGCGCCCGCTGGCCCCGCGTCTCCCGCCCGCCGGGGCCCGCGCTCTTTTCTAAGATGTACATATCTATTTTTGTAACCTACGAGCGGAGCTGCGGCAGGAGACAGAGACTTCGGAGGATGACGAGACGTGGCAGACAAGACCACGAATTGCACCGAACTGATGCTGCAGGGGGCCACCCTCCGGCCCCGCTCGGTGTCCCAGCCTTGTCTCCCTCCCCGTGTCCCCCCCCCCCCCCCCGCCTCCTTTTGCGCCTCCCCCACCCCCACTTTTGCCTGGAGACCGGCCGGGGCGGGGAGCGCGGAGACCCGGTCTGGACCCTCCGACACCCACCGTGCGGGGGACCTAGGAGCCACCGATGGGAAGAGGGACAAGTCTCCCCCGCAAACTGCTGTGCCGACTAAAGTAACCTGTTGAAGGCTCTTTGTAAATAAATCGTGAGTCACACTGACTAGAAGTTACTTTATTGTGAATATTTAAACTGTAAGATGCTTTCTTTTTGGAATTTGGTATAAAAAGATGGACCTCCTTCTCCCGGCTCCCCTTCCGCTTTTAAGAGCAATTCAAACCACACGGTTCCCGTTTTTATTTTGAAATTAATTGGAGAAGCGTAGACACTTCCCTCCCCTCTCGAGCCCCTCCCGGGTCTGGATTTGTTCAGTCTCTTTTCCCCTACATCCTCTCCGGCTCTTGCCCGACGACCCCTGGCCCCAAGCCCGGTTTCCCCCGTCCAGGACTTGAAGTAGCAGTCGTGGAACCAGGGAAGGCCCTCAGGTTGGCCCCCCAACCAGCCTCTTTGTCCCCCTCTGAAATTGCACAGTCGTTTGTTGCTATTTATTAGTGATTTAAAGAAAGTGTTGGGGAGGGATGGGGCTACGATAGCTTGTATTTAATTTAACTCCTTTCGGATAAAAATGCGTGTTAAAGTAGATGGTGGGAATTGTTACAACCGCTCTGGGTCAGAAACAGAAAAGTCCATTTAGTTGCTGTAATTGAATTTGAAGTGTTTTGTATCATAAGAATACTATAGACTATGTAAATTGTTTTCTTTTTTAAAGCTAATAATGGTGATATATTAGCATCTTTAACTTTTATTAATTTATATAAGGAATTCGGTTTGTAAAGAGAAGAAAACCCCCTTTGCAAGACCAGTTAAATGTAATGCACTTTCTGTTTCAAAGGATAAATCAAATTAAAAAACAGTTTGAAGAAGTCTGTTGCCTTGAATCAAAGGGTTTATATAGACCATTTGATCTCATCTGAGATCTCAAATAAAAGTCAAGACCACAAACATTTTATATTGGTTTCTTGGGTAAAATAATTTTTACATTATTATTATTTTGGAAGAGGGGAGGTCACATCTCTCATTCTCCTAGATTGGAAAGATAAATGCAGCCCCATTCAATGGGCTTCTTGGAGAGACTTGTCGAACAGGCTGCCTGTGCTGTCTTGTCTGTGCTGTCTGATTTTTTCCTGATCGCTTTTTCCTTTGCGAGGAAGTCCCTGGAGGTTTTGGGGAGGCCTCATTTCCATATACCCAAGATAGCTTCTCAATTCAGCCTTAGCTTTTTTCACTGAGAGGAGGCGGTGGAGCTGGCTGTCGGGGCAACACTGCTGTGTGATACTAACATTTTCTCCCCAGTAGGTTGTAAGAATACAGAAGTTGGTGGAAACCTGGGACCCCTGATTTTGCTAAACATTACAATAAAGAAGGCTATATTTTAAGAAAGCTTCTTCTCTAGGATTCTCTAGGATTAAGGAAGCAACATCACAGCTTCTGCAGCCGAAATTGTGAAAAAATAAAAATTGGGAATCCTGAGGAGAGAGCTGTATTACTGTCTTGGGATCTTTCTGTTTTCAGACACTCAGTTATAGGCTCAGTGAAATATAGTTATCCCCTTAGTGTTTCAGGTTAATGAGCTTGTGTTCAAAGGGACAAAAATCAATAGAATTCAGTAGATTCTTCAGGGCGTGTTAGGTAACAAAAGTGTGGGTCTGTTTTGTTCAGACCTACATGACATAAAAATAAAAAAAAAACAGTAAAAACTGGGAATGAAATTGCTCGAAGTAAATTACTGCAGGCTACATTCCTCACGGCATGGTTTAATAGAAAGGAAGGATACAAATCTGCCCTATTTCTTTTCTCTAGTTGGTCCATGAAGTTCCCAATAAGTTTTAAACTTCTGAATTTCTGTTCTCTTCGAGAGACTTCTCTTGTGGCTCAGACTTCTCTTTTGGTAAAGAATCCGCCTGCAATGCGAGAGACCCGGGTTCGATCTCTGGGTTGGGAAGATCCCCTGGAGAAGAGAAAAGCTAGCCACTCCAGTATTCTGGCCTGGAGAATTCAATGGACTGTTTAGTCCATGGGGTGGCAAAGAGTCGGACAGGACTGAGTGACTTTCACTTTCACTTTTGCAAGACTAAAGTGTGTGTTCTACAGAGAGATAGCTATTTCAAAAGAAGTTTTGAATTTAAATCCTAGATGTAAACAATAAGATTGATCTTTTCCCTTCCTCACTTCCTTCTTTCCTTCCTTCCCTCTGTCTCTCATCTTTCTCTTTCTGAAAGAACCTAGCGGTGGGGCAAGTCTGTTATCCTAAAGTACCACTTTATTATTTCTTATTTTGCACCAAATGAAAGTCTCTAGTATTTTATTCACTTACTTTTACCTTCTTCCATCCCTCTTCTGTCTTGAAAAGCCAAGCAACTTTTTATTTATTCCTGCTTCCTAAGAAAGGAACAATCTACCAGATAATTAGAAATGCTCATTCTGAAATATAATAATAAAAACTATTATGCCAGTAGTAGTAATAGAGTAGTATCACTTATAGAAAACTTGGAACCAAGACTGAAGTTTTTCCCAAGAAGTAAATGTGCCAGGCTCAGTTGTGTCCAACTCTTTGCAACCCCATGGACTGTAGCCTGCCAGGCTCCTCTGTCCACGGACTTCTCCAGGCAAGAATACTGGAGTGGGTTGCCATGCCCTTCTCCAGGGGATCTTACCAACCCAGGGACTGAACGCAGGTCTCCTGCATTGCAGGCGGATTCTTTACCATCTGAGCTACCGGGGAAGACCCTAGGGCTATAGCATTTATTCCCAGTTAGGTAGGTGGAGAGATACCTCTTCCAGTTCCTCCAGGAAGCATTCTCTCTGAGCTCTTTGTGTTTAAAGCATCAGAGAAGTGTGAAAGCTAGTGACCTGGCCCCCATCCTACAGGCAAATATACAGAGGGCAGACAGAGTGTGTGTGCTTGCCAGTCTGAGCACTGATGAGCCGAGTTGTGCGGGCAGCAGCCAGAGTTATGCTCTGGGGCCATGTTGCACTGGCATTCGTTCCTTTATCCCAGGGGACTGCACCAGTGACTGGAGTTTCCAGTTAATTTACTTCCACCCAGGATTCCAGCTGGCCACCAGTTGCAACTGGCACCATAAAACTGGGAGTGAGGGAGGAGTGGGTGGGGGGTACCTTACTTAGGCCTCCTTTATCATGGTTGGTTTGGTTTAGTTCCATGTATGCACAACAGGAATGTTTTTCCTAAGAGTTAGCGTGGTACAAAAGCTGAGGAAACACTCCACAGCTTAAGCAAGGGAGAGTAAGAATTATTTTTCATCATGGCTCAAAAATTTTAGGACCTTAACCCATAAGCATCTGATTAAGCCTGCCAATCAGTCATGACAGCTTAAAGGGGTCATGATTTAAAAACAAAAAGTAACAGCAAGTGGCCTCTGCTTTTATTTTAAAAATTTTTCCTTAGGTTTATTAAGATAAAATTGACAAATAACATTGTGTAAGTCTAAGGTGTACAACGTAAAGTTTTGACATATGTATATATTGCAGAATGGTCACCACAATACACCTAATTAGTACCCATCACCTCACATTTTTTTTCCTTACGATGAAAACTTTTAAGATCCACTCTCTTAGTGACTTTTACATATACACTGCAGTATTGTTAGCCATGCTCAGTGGGCTGTACATTACATGCCTAGATGTTTTCTACCTTTTGATCACCTTCACCCATTTCCCCTGTCCTCCACTCCGCCTCTGCTTTTAAAAATGCTTACAGGTAACGAAGTATCCACATGGAAAACAAAATGAGAAAAATGAGGGCCCTGTGTGTGTGTGGTTAAAGGAAGGTAAAACTGCTTTCTCATTTTTGTTTTATTCATGAATGTCTTTTCCTATAAAGGGAAATCCAGTGAGGTTGGGTGAATGCACTCAGCCTGGAAGCGAAGGGCCTTGTTCCTGCCTCTCAGATGTCCCAGCTGCATTCACAATTTGAAGTTCCTACTCGGTTATTTTCTCAGTCCCCAAATTCCAGGCTCAGTTCTAATTGATTTTACCTTTCTCTTTGGCTCACATTCAGAGGATTCTGTAAAGCTCTACACCTTCTTGCCCAGAAGTTGTGGTTTATTGAGCAGCTTCCCAAGCATGTGAGTACCGTAATCCCCTTTCCCTTTCTCCACTTGGGAGGAACCAAAAATTGTTCATTCTTCCCTGGAAAGATGTGTGCCCCTCACCACTCAGGGTGCAAGCAATCTGGACTGGAGGCCAGCTCTTCTTAGAAATACGGTATTAGGCAACAGAGGCTGAGGTGCCTTTGAAAACTTTTAGAGCCTGATGTCATGAACATGAGTGTGTTATTAGCCCAGCTAGGGTAGATCTCCACTGTCTTGTCCATTAAGCTGGTCATCAGCACACACACTCATTCACACACACACACACACACACGCACAGGAGAGGTGAAATTCCACTTGGGAACTCCTAGCACTGAATAGCTTAAAAGAGACTGACTCTTTTGTCAATCCCTGACAATAGACTCATGTAATAACAACAGAGGAAGCAGCAGATTTCATCTATAAACTCTATTTTAGGTTAATCTGAGCAGATTTCTCTAAATTTTCTCCTTTCCACCACAAACACACACACACAAATGCAAAAAATATTCTTCTCCCTTCCCCAGTTTAACTTAAAAAAAGTCAGTTCC